GATTTAAAGGTGCATAAGCAGTTTAGCCGAAATTTGCTTTCTCGGTTCGAGATTGAAACTAGACCGTTGATCCTGAGCCATCAGATGATGGTAACTCGGTGTGGGGTGTAATAAGCCCGGTTGAGGTAATCTCCGGCATCCTTTACTTTTATTTTTTGCAATGTTATCTTTATATTCTCAAGCATAATACATAGTTGTTTCAATGACATCAAGTTGTTAAGATCTTATTTTATATTGTTATGATTTTATTTTTGATGTATTTGATATTCTAATAAGACCCTATGCAAGTGATCTTTTGCCAAAACAAAAAGGGTGTTTATAAAAAAAAAATATTATATTTCCCAGTAAAAGGTCACGTAGGTCTTTCTTTCCATTAGAAATTACATGTCTTTAAAACTTAAGTCAACAAATCATCTCAAAAATAGTTTTATTCATAAGCCCGCATTTTTACATATGTAGGTTTGGCCACATAAAACCGGATCCGTTTCACTAATATCCTTATTTTACAATAACAACTAGGTCTGCCACTTGGTTTTGAGAGAGAGAGAGTCGTGTGTCCAACCTATATCCATATAGGGGCTAAAAGTGCGTCTACAAGTATATGAAGTGCAAAGTGCACCCTCTTTCTCTTTTTTTTTCTTTTTCTTTTTTTTTTTTTTAAAAAAAAAAACGGTTAAGCTTTCATTAAAATAATGAAAGAGTGTACAAAAAGAGCCAAAATAAAAAAGAAAGAGAAAGAAGAGGCGAGAGAAGGAAAAAGAAAGATAGGGCAAGTAGAAGAAAGAAGGCTTAAAAAAGAGCCCCCTCTTTTGCAAGCTGGTCTGCGTCAAAGTTCTTCTCCGAGACGATGTATTGAAAAGTGAACTCAGATAATATCCATGGTGCAAAGTGCACCTCAAACGCTCTTATCCATACACATGAGCTCGCGTGCATGTATGATACATGCTTTGCATGCTCTATATGAACCTTCAATCTTCTTGGTTCCAAAAGCACAATAGAAGAGGTTATTCACATGCATAAACCAGTGGTAGATAGACAATGACACGCGCATCGATGTCTACGCATGTTAAAAAGTGTCTAATACGGAATGTAAAAAAAGATACTACTTTTAAACATATTAGTGTATTACTCTTTTAAGTTTAGGGCAAGCTTTTTATGCTTCCTCTACAGCATAAAATTTATATATTTTTCCTTATCCAATCGTTCATTTTGAATAGAGGATTAAGATTGTCCTAATCACAATGTCATGTCTTTATATTATTTTATTTTTAATATTTTTTGTATAAATTATTTTCACACCAAATTTTGGGCATCCAATCCTCTATTAAACACAAACTTGTAAAAAATATTAAAATAATATTCCCAATAAAATAAAATGACTAAAATACCCTTGAAACTTTTAAGGGATATTTTGGTAATTATATTTTATTAAAAAATTATTTTTAATATTTTTTGTATGTGCTCCCTAATAAGAAGATGACACGTACTAAATTTTATATTCATAAAATTTATATAAAAAATTAAAAAAATAAAATACTCTGAGGTATCGAATCTAAGATCAAATAGAGAGTAGCTCACTTGATCGAAATTGCACGGCCGGATGGTAGGGGAAGCATAGATCTTCTATGAAGTATAGAAACCATTCCCTTAAGTTTATATTTATAATAATTCGTAAAAAAAATTAAACATTGTGATGAGCATCTGCGTATAACATTTTTAAAAAAAATTGACGAACAGAGCAAGAGATCCATGGTTCGAAGCCCCAAAGCACGCTTTATTCTTTTTGCATCCATTCATTTAAAAAGGATATATATAGGGAAAATATCCTATTATCCCCTATTTTTAACTTCTATATCTCATCAAACCCAAGAATTGAAAATATTACTTGTAAACAAATGGACTCCATCTTTTCTATCTTCCAACCCCCTAAACTCTTTTAATCGTGTATTATTGATTTCAACAACTTATGAAATGACTTTATATCTCTCTCTCTCTAAAACTCCATCTCTCTCTCACATCATCGTCTCTATCTCTAAAAACTCCATCTCTCTCTCACATCATCATCTCTATCTCTAAAACCTCCATCTCTCTCTCTCTC